AATTCTTTTAAACACAATATTATGCATTTTACCTGTGTAAGGGAACACCAAATATAAGAAGAAAGGCTAATACGACCAGGTAAAACACACAACAGAAATAACTGTAAACATAATGATATGTACAACGATTACCACTATATGCTAATTAGCTACAACCCGCAGGTTTAGTTATACAGATGCCTACAGTATGCATGGCTCTTCTGTTCAAACCACGTTTTCAGTGCCTAGGTTTCTCTCCCCCTGTTCTCTGTCTTCTAAAAGTATTCTCTCATCTCCACAATCCAGGAGCGGCTATTGCTTCTGGTTTCCTACGTTCTGACCGCAGGGGAGTAGGGCCAGGGTTATTCTGCTTTCCCCTGGGGCTGGGTTGAGGGGAGGAGGGCAGCCAGTGTGGAAGGTCCAGTCCTGCCCAGGGTGCTGGGTCACCCACCCTCTAGGGCGAGGAGACACAGAAGCCATGCAGAGAAAGTGTGTCCCTGTCCACGGTCCTGACTCAGTGCTGTAAGAGCGGTGGTGCCAGAGGGAAGGGGAAGACTGGGTTACCTCCAAGCTCTGTCTGCCTCCTAACAATGAGAAGTGACACTTTGATTGCTTCTAAACAGAGTCGGAGTTAATTAGCCTGTGACTGAGTCGATACATCAGCAAAGACTGGCTCAGCCACCAGCTGCGAACTGTCCTCAGCCTCTTGGAAAATCTACACTGGAAAACCACCCAAACAGGCAACTGCTCTCAGACGCCAGGACAGAGAGGGAAACCAATCATCCTGACAGCCGGTGCAGGGGATCTCACTCTCAAACAGACTCAGATTTGGGCTCAATGTTAAGAAATGGCACCCTAGGAAAGTGAAATGGATGTGAGTCAGGGTAAATGGGTGGCCACCTGTGGAACTTCCCCCTGAACAGCCCACAGGTGGGCTGCCAGTGAGACAAAGCAGCCTTTGCTAAAAGGAAATCAGTGCTCAAAGCGTTCTCGCCTTGGCATAGGGAGATTGACTGTGACTCTAAGTTGTCAGACTTCTCTGTATTCATGACCCCTTCACAATATGATTTGCCGCCCTGCCCATCAAGGGGAGGGTTCTATTTCCCTCCACTTGAGTCTGGGCTGGCCCCCTCTTTTGCTATGACCAACAGGATGAGGTGGGAAGCAGTGCTGAGTCAGTTCCAAGCATTGGTCTCAAGAAGCCCTTACACTTCTGCTCTCCCTCAGAACTCTGTTGCGTTACTGAAACAAACCCAAGTTAGCCTGCTGGTTGATGACAGACATAGCCCCTCCAGGTTCACTGCCACAGCCAACAACCATCAGACATGGGAGGCCATCCCAGACTGTCGCTCACCCACCACAGCTGCATGAGCGAGGCCACCTGAGATTAGCCAAGGATGGCCCAGATTGGCAGAACAACACAGCTGACCTGTATACCAATGAGTGGACTTAAATGGTTGTTATTTTAATTTACTGAGTTTTGGGGAAGTTTGTTACTTGGCTTTGCTTACTGATACACAGGGAGGAACTGTCAGTGTGTTTCTGAAAAGTAAAAAGTAAACATTCATTTTGTTTTGAACTGAAAGACTTGCCCACGAGAATACTTTGATTGCTAGGAATATTAAACTTTGTTTTCCTAAGTAAGATATGTGTGTGTGTCTGTGTTTCTGTGTGTGTGTGTGTACATGAGGCAATAATAATTACATCCTAGCTTCCAGTGATTGTATATCAGACTACCAAATAGTCCCTGGCTTCTGGGGAAGATGGACCCTTATGGAGAAAACCCTAGTTCTGGGGGCAGATGGGTGGGAAAGGGGCATCTGTAAGAGGACTGAGAGCTGATTTTGGGATGGGTCTGTTATCAGCACATTGCACTTTCCTGTTAAAATGACACCCCAGGATCCAATTCTGCCCCCAGTTTCACCGGAACAGGAGCTGGGCTGAACCCAAGACAGAACAGCTGTGACCCACATGCAAACAATAACCAGCTGGGGGATACAGTGGAAGAAACTAGGATGATAATCACAGCAAGCTCTTCTGTGTGCCAGGGACTGCTCTGAGCACTTTATGTATTAACTCCCTGAACCCCCACAGGAGTCCTGTGCAGCAGCACCATTTAGACTAGTCACACAAAAGATAAAATACTTGGGAAGAAACTCAACAAGCAAAAAAAAAAAAAAGAGCTAAATACTAAATAAGACTTTGAAATTCTATGGAGGGACAAAGATGAAGATACGACCCAACAGAAAGACACACCAACAGATCATGTTCTTGGACAGAAAGACAGCATCACAAAGATGTCAATTTCCCCCAAGTTGACTTATAAATTTAACGTGATCCCAACAAATAGATTCAGGCAGGCAGGCACTGCCACACTGGGCAGTTCAACAGAGCGAATTTAATCCAGGGAACAAGTAAAGAAGAACCCAAAACTCACATGGGGTGTGGGAGGTCACCCAGAGAGTAGGGGGGAGATGGCCCAGGAGCCTGCGCTGCGGGAGGGTGGGCTGCCTGCTGGGGGTCTCCACCCCTCCCAAGGCTCTGACCCAATGCTGGTGTCTGCTTGCAGGAGCTGGTGAGGCCAGCCGGATACAGCTTGCCTTTTCCTAAACACTCATTTATATTACTTTTTTATTTTCCAGTCATCTTGACATCTTAATACAATACTGACATACTTTAAAAAAGTTACTGTATTTTGTATTATGAAAATTATATTCATTGTAGAACAATTAAAATCTAGACTGAAGAAAATACAACGTCTATATAATCTCCCATGAATAGAAAAACCACTGGTGCTATTTTGTGGATTCCTGCCAGTTATATATACATAAATGCAAAGTGTAAGAACAGGTTTAAGAGTGAAATTGGGATCATAAAATATGTCCACTTTTGTAACCCTGCTTAAAATGTATTTCTCATTGACCATTATATTATTAACATTTTCTTACATAATTATTATTCTACACCGTAAGTTTTTATTAGTTCTGTTAAATAGCCATTCTATAATTTATTTACTCTTTTTCTTAGACATATATGGAAGGCTATTTCTAGATTTCGAAGGGCAGAAATGAACATTTTATATTTATCTTTTATCTCTTTTTATTTCCTCAAGCAGAGTTTTTAAAATAGGAAATTTTGAGTGAAAAGAAATGAATGTTTGAAGATTCTCAGTCCAGAGTGCCATGTTATTGCTCTTTATAAGGCTTGTTAAATAATTTATATATTTGCCAGTAGTGCACAAGGACTCCACATTGAGCCCATCTGGGTCAAGATTTAGAGTCAAAAAGAAGTTTTGTCAACTTAGTGGGCAAAAACGGTACCTCATTGTTTTGAGTTGTATATTTTTTTCACTATCAGTTGACTATCTTTTTATACCTTTACTGCTCATTTGTATTCTTGCTTTAAAAATACCTTAGCAAAGCGCCAAGCCCCTGACGGTAATGTCTGTGCCTATTTTTTCTTTCATGATATCCCCCTTTTTTTAAAAAAAAAATTGACTTGTTAGAGCGCTTCCTATATTAAAACCTTAACCAAATTTTTGGTATCTATATGGCATATGTATGTTTACTCACAATGTTTTCTTTTGTATTTTGCATTTGAATGCAGAAAAATTTTCACTATATTACTTAAATCTATTATTTTTCACATATAGATATTTAAATACTGTATAAAACAATGTATTGATGTACAAATATTGCTTTTCTGCATTCACAGTTCATAGAACAAGTTTATTCAAACTATTCACAAATATCTTTGACATTTGTGTGTTTGTCCTCAGAAGATCACTGTTTATCTCTTGGGTCACAACAATTTTTCTGGTCTCACTGTAGAAGGTGCTGGTGCCAACTGCCAAATATTTCCAGCTGTCCACTGTCTGGGCTCATGATAATGCCCCCTTGTGGCTGGGTGGGGTCTGGTAAGCCATTTTAATCAGAGTTGTGAGTGGGAGTGATGGATACTGGTGCCACTTCTTGGCTCAGCCATTTACTGGTCAGTACCTGATATGTAGAGTTGTTTCTTTCCTTCTACACAGTGACTAAGAATGTTCCAGATGTCAGCCCTAATCCCCTAAGAGATTGTGACAAGCAGACCCCCTACTGACAATGAGGAATGA